GCCCTATATCACGCGTGATAATGAGGCATTCTTCCCTGCGGTTCATTTTCGGATTTCTGGAATTAATCCAGAGTGCCTCAGAATGCGAATGCTTTTCTTTTTTTTTCAGAACGAAAACTGCTTTTCTGATGTGAGGGGCACATTATACTTCCATGTGATTTCTGTGCGGTTGGTCTCTACGTGACATACTTAGTGGAAACCTCATAGAAAGCGGTGAGTGTGCAAAGCTGTGTTCAAAGTGATTGAAATCTTGGTTCCCACATTATACTTCCACGTGATTTCTGTGCGGTTGGTCTCTACGTGACATACTTAGTGGAAACCTCATAGAAAGCGGCTCTGAAGAAGGCGAAATCCGCCGAAACGTCAGCTTAATCGTGAACAAAGAATAATAACACCTCGCGTTTGCTCAACAAAAATACGAAGACAATAAACTAAGCTTAGCATTAGAATACAAGGATGTAGTATTCAAAAAAAATGTCAAAGCATATACAAGAAGTATAGAATTACAAGTCGTGTATTCGTTTCCGAACAATCTATAAAAATCTAATAAATTTGGAGCGATAGTATTAACTTGTTGTATCTCCCCTCAACAGAAGTAGCAGCGTATCTGTAGAACGATAACATATCGATTGAGAAGCTGATGAGCTACCTATGAAGAATTTTTCTGTTCGATGATGACACAGTAGAAGAAAAATGACGCTGGTATCCTGCCACACAGAACATCGTACTACTCCTGTTTTCTAAAACTTAAGCACTGGTAGCTAAACATTTATTTAAACACATAACTTGGGACGAACCGATGTGAGAACTCTCATGTGATGGGTATATTGCCATTTTACAAATGGTTAGTCACAAATAACTTTTGCCCAAAGCTCTGTTGACTATGAAGCAAGGAAGCGGTAGAAGTTATTTCGGAGCCATGCTTGACTACTGGAGACCATGTCAAAAATACGATTTCTATGAGGCAGGATTAAATGAAAACTGGAAAGAACGAATCCCAAAGAATATTCTGAACAAGATAGAACTCGTCACATTTGTAAACTGAAAAACCATTCGCCTTTAAAAAGCCTACATTGACATTTTGCAGGGGAGAACACTGCTGTATAGATCGCAGTTCACGAAGGAGGTCGGCTAACCTATGAAATAGATCGGAGAACTTTCCCCTCATGGAAACCCAGTTTCGGTTTCCGTTGAGATCGGAGAACTTTCCTCTCATGAGAACCCAGTTTCGGTTTCCTTTGTTACAATAGCCTTTAGCCTTTGCGGAAGCCACCTACTGCGAGTATCGCTGACCTTAAAAACGCCGATTTTCAGTACGGGAAGACGTTCAGATGCTTACCGATGGACGCAGAGTCGACCAGAAGTCTCACCGCTAAATTTATTTCGTAAAGCACCCCATTATTTATTTTCAATTTTTTAAAGAACACAGAAAGTATCTCAATCGTAGTTTTCAAGCTAGTAAAAAAGTTTGAACCTTATAACAATAGCACCTTCTGAAGTACCAACCACTATTAACTCCTTGATTTATTGTGTGAATAGAAGTTCAAGACGCCTTTATTCGATGACTAATACTGATTTCAAGTCCGTCAAAAAATTTTTGCAAACGGGAAAGAATACAACCAAACTATGATAAAGATATTTTTTAATCCCACTTCTTACTTCTCTTCTTCTCATGTGTTTATGAGACAGAGGTCACATCTTGCAGTATATAAGAGCGGCACAAAAAAGATATTTGTGACAGAACTTTCCGCGAGGACAGTATAGAAAAGTTAAATAGAAAGTATCTGAAACTTCCGAAAAATTTGAGTACCCCTCTATTAAGCAGCTGAGTAAACAAATACGAAAACGGCAGATTCAGAATTATTCTATCAAAGTAATTCTATGTAATTTGAGTGCAACGACTCATTACATGCTTACTTCAATTTTTAGGTGATCCATCGAATTCGTGTGACATGGTATCAGCACTTCCTCCAATTGCTTCACTGTCTTGCAACAGTATTTCATCAGGTGGTCTTATTCAGGCGCGCCTTCAATACTTCAGCAGCCGTTTGAAAACCTGGAATTTCACTTCAGAGGTTATTATGGCTGGTTTATGTGCGCAAAAACACAGAGGTTCATCTTCCAGGTAGGCTCTCTCTCAAGACCGTTTTGATTCTCTCGGAACCACGTTATCGTTCTCTTCGATCAAATGTCTTCTATTTATCTCAACTTATCCTCAGTTCTTCACACGTATTCTGTTGGATTTCAAGAAAGGATATTCTTCGAACATCTGACATACGAAAATCGACTTAGTTTACTTGTCCCGGATTATATTCAGAAGACTCTGCTCCAGTGCTTTGCGTGCTGCGTACAAGTTAGACGGCTAAAAGATTAACACATGTTTCTGTTCCTCAGCACAAACCTTTCGCCAAATAAGTGGACGAGTCGGTCGAGATGGTCATTGTCTTACAGAGAGTTCTTCGTCGTCATCATCTATAATCAATGACTACCCCCAGGTATAGGTAGAGCGTGGTTTCTTCATCTCAACTAAGTAATAAATTGATTATCCATTCTTCTCTACAACATGTGTCCTTCGTGAATTATAATTTCTTCCGAATGATTCCTAAACTAATTTTTTCCATGCTTCGTTGAGCTCAGTAAGCGTTGTCTCTGTTTTTTGCTGTTCCAGTCGAGCAACTGCATACAGCACTATAGTGCGACGGCAAACAGCCTTGGTAATATTGTGTTATCCTGACTTTTTCGTTTACCAATTCGAATAATGGGTGATCGCTGGAAAAGCCGTGTACTCGTTGTACAATGATTACTACAGTCAGCGATTGTTAGTTTTAAAATTTCAGTGCCCCTACAGTAATGGTCAACTAAGGTGGACGGAATGGCATTGGTTGTTTTCAATATGTCAACCACTTTCTCGTAACCAACAAATTTTTGAAGGGGCGGATGATATTCACTGGAGACCTTTACAACTTTCAAGATATGATATTCACTGAAGACCTATATAACTTTCAAGATAATTTACAACCTCCAAGCAGAACATAGCAAAGTGAGCACTCGTGAGCATCTTTACCAAATTAGTCGCAGGATCTTGCCACTTCTCTTTTTCAGCGGCCCTTAATACTCAGTAGATAAACGTTCAAAACTTTTCTTTAGATTTAGGACAACTGTTCAGCAGACTGTTTGAGGCCTTCCTCTCTCAACATCACCTCACGGTCTCCTCTTGAATGTTCGCTTCTACTCCAGGATATGAAGTCAATGAGAATAGACTCGTTTGGCACAACTTGTTCACTTCATTTCGTTCAATGTTAGGACTTTTTCACTTGGAGGTTAAAGCATATGTTTGCATAAATGCGGTAACCTGGTCCTGTGCAAAAACGTGCAAGGTGATCCCGACGTAAAAAAAATTCTCCTACCCACAAGAATATGAATAATTTCCACATGAGTCGTACCTTCGGCGACTCCCTTATCCAGCGGTGACAGTCATTCTAGTTGTAAAAAGAACTTTCATGGATGAGATGAGCCGCAGATACCAGTCCAGTTAGATGATTTCTATTGTGAGACGTTCTGATTCAAAAATCCCAAGTTCCATATTCCTCTTCTTGCTCTGCTTTTATCATTTAGGCTTAGTTCTTGCTGAAGTGTCCTTGAGTGATTGGTTAGTTTATCGTAAGATTCTCCCTATTCACAGTGATCGCCACCGCAATAGAATAAATTTCGCATCAAGGCGAAAAAAAACCTTCTTTTCATCCACAAAGACTGGTGACTACGTGTTTTGAACGTTTGGGAACGCACTAGCACCGCCTAGCGAATCCACGGAAAATTGCGCTCATCTACATTCATTATGTTACAAGGAAGAATAAAAATTGTCAAGAGGATGTCAAACACCAAACCAAAAAAGTGGACAATATGGGATTTAAGAGACAGTACATCAACGACATATCTTGGAGACTGCTTCCGACTGCGTAAGTACAACGTTGGGTGAGCATCTTCGGACTACAAGCATTATGTTCTTATAGATGCATGTTCTCCCACATACCGTAACAACAACGGTCTGACAGCCACCCAAGCAATTAAGAACGAGCAAGCAACCAGAATGTGAACCAAAGAATCCTCTTAACCTTAGGTGAGAAAATTCTACCGCTCAACGTTTGTGGCGTTGACTTTGTTGTACATCCATTCGTAACAAAACTGTTGATTGATTACACAATCGGCGATACTTCATTTGGTGAGATCCACCATCCATGGACGAACACGTGCCCAAAAACAGACAACGCAAAGTGACTCTGACATGGAATTCGAGCGACTAAAATGCATCGGAACTGTTAATCAGAAGACATGGATAGAATTTACGACAAGTATAAGGAAGTACCATGGATCTCCTCACATGAGGGATCTCGAGCCGGTTAGCCGCGACGCTACGTGGCGCGTCTCCAGGTGGCGGATAGAGGGCTAATCGCGGACCACAAGCGAACATTGCTTCCCTGAGACGCAGGTGGATCCAGAGTATGGACTCCCTGTTTCTGCTCCTAACCGCCTCCAACAAACAAGCTCCATGTCCACTCTGGGAGAGCCTGGTAAACTACCCGTGAGTATACCCAGCTCCCACGTTCAGAACGCAGCAAGGTATAAGTAGGTATCAAAATGCTAAAAACAGTAAAGAAAAAGTGGGCCTCATTCCCCTGTCCCCGAAAGGACATCCAATTTCGCAGCGTTCTGTACGGAGTACGGAGAGGCTGCTAAAATCTCAAGGCCAATGGAAGTTGCCCGGATTACAAAGAACTATGGTGACGATCTGTACCTACAATGCACGTACCTTTGCATCCGATTTCTCAATATAAGACTTGATCACGCAAGCAAGAAGGAAAAGGCACGACGTAGCCGGCCTGGCCGAAACGAGACGACGCCACCCATTCAACGCCGTCTGTGATACTGGAAAAGAACTGTAACCGAAGATTTCGACGTCAGGATTGGACCACGGAGAAAGCCTGAAGAACGTCACATTAGAACCCACGGAATAGAATGGAACGAACAGGGTGAGCGGGTATCTGATTTTATCATGGCGACCAAGACAATCCATGGTAATTCGAAATTCCAGAAGCACCACGCTCAACGCTGGACGTGGGAGTCTCCTAATGGAGAGTTCCGTAACGAAATAGACCACATCATAGTAAATAGAAGCTTTTCCTTAAGCGATATCGCTGTTTTCCCAAAATTCTAAACGGGACAAAACCAGTGCCTCCTTCGTGAAAGATTCTATTTCTCGCGGAAAAGAGAAAAAGTCGCTAAATTCAAAGACCGATGTTCCAGAACCACCATAAACTGGAACTTATTCAATTCATTAGTCGGTTGTTGGGAGGATGCCGTTGTCGATAACATCGACGAAGAATGCGATTGGTTCAGTCAACATCTCCACGTTAGCGGTATGAAATCTGAGAGTTCGGAAGTCACCAAGAGACCTCTGTCTCCAGAAACGCTCGAACTGATACGTCAGCGCGTGGAATCGCACGCGCTGCAGGCGACCGCGAACTAACGTCCGAACTTGCAAAACAGTGCAGACAGGCGATAAAAGAGAATCACAAAGAGAGAAAAGCAGTAGTAATGGTCGAAGCTACAGAGACTGGGAAAAGCATTCGCAAAGCCCACCGAAGCTTCGCCAATTACAAGACCGAGGTGGCTCCACTCCTACGCCCAGAGGGAACAGTTCCAGCGTCCAGAAAGGCAATGGAGAAAATCATTCACGACTATTACCCAGATCTCTTCGATAGCCACGTTCACCTTCCGTCATATGAAATAAAGGAGGACGGATATGTTGTACCACCGGTTCTCCCTTCCAAAATCCGACATGCCATTTCGTCGGCGAAAAATCGAACAGCACCAGGTCCGGACAGGACAAGACCAGAACACCTGAAGAACATTCCGCCAGTCCTCGTAAACATATTGGCTCGGTTCTTCACACGTTACCTTTCTGAATGCAAGGTCCCTACTCAGTACATAAAAAATCTTCGTGGGTTGACCGAAAATTTCACAACCAAGATTTCACCATTCTACAACAACATTAATGTTGACGTCAAAAAAGCAATTAGGCGAGGCGATACCATCTCGCCAAAATTATTTACAGCCACCCTCGAGAACGTCATACGAACATTGGAATGGGGCAATATGGGAGTGAAAATTGGTGGTCGGTAGTTACACCATCTTCGCTTTGCTGATGACATCGTCCTTATAACACTAAAGATTAGCCAAGTAGAGCGTATGCCTGCCGACTTTGATAAGGCCTGTGGAAAGATTAGTCCTCCACTAAATCTCAGAAAAACGATGGTCATGAAGAACGGATTGGTTTCGCATGCCCCATTCACGCTCAGCGGAACGGATATCTCCAAATGCTACAGCTATATGTATCTAGGTCGGGAAGTCAATATGATGAACGACTTAGCTCCAGAGCTGAGCAGAAGAAAACGAGAGGCCTAGGAAACTTCCAAGAGCGTTGAGGGTGTAGTGAAGGAGACAAAGAACAGCCGACTCCGTGCCCATCTTTTGGACTCGACGGAACTTCCTGCCCCAACGTATGCGTCAGAAACCTGGTCGTTGCCTAAGCAGCATGAAAGATCTCCCAGCGTTATCGAACGCGCAGTCGAAAGGACGATGCTAGGAATATCCCGTCTCACACAAGTAAGGTATGGGATCTGAAGCTCCGATCTGCTTCAACGACTAGAAATCAAAGATGCCGTTCTGTACGCCAAACAATCGAAGATAAGGTGGGTCGGACACGTAATGCGTATGAATGACAACCGAAGGACAAGAGCCGTTAGTGACTGGATTCCTCGGGATGTCAAACGTACTGCAGGAAGACCACCGACCCGATGGTCAGAGTTCTTCATGAGGAGCCTAAAAGAAAGATATGATGCTCGACGAGTCCGTATTGCGAGCAGAACCCACTGGGCTGCTCTTGCACGCGATAGGGAAAAATGGAAGATTTACTGGCTCCCGCTCCAGTCACTCGACGATCAACGGGACTACAGATGATACGGGTGACAGGTGATAAGGAAGTAAAACAAATTGGTGGTTTCGCTGCATGGCGAGGGAGCAAGCGAAATCTGGTTTTTTATTCTAATATCAAAGATAAATCCCTCTCTAGTTTACCGTTCCACCTCGCTTGGGATGCGGAGTGTTTCTCGGCATCGAACTGCGATGTACAGCGGGTTCCCTTCCTACAGAACATTTCCTAAACTAATAGGAAGCTACAAATTTCCATCCGAAAACCCAGAAAAAAGAGACAACGCCACCGCCTTCCTGGAAAAAGGAGCCACCGCCTTCCTGGTAGCTATAGGTACTGTGCGGTCAAGTTAGCAAGGCTCTAGAGCAGTTCGAATTATCAGTCAAATGGAAATTCTGCTGGGAAACCTAAGAATCCTTGACAGAACGAGTCTTTCAAGTAAGTTGTTGGAGAAAAAACAAAGAGTAGTTGGTATAAAAAACTCGAAATAGTGATTCGAAATGGCTATCAGACTACTAGTACCAAAAGGCGGTTTTATCGCTTGCTCAAAGATGTAGGTGATCCTCGAACTTTACTTCTTTCCCAATGAATAGGAAGCTTAAAAAAATCGGTGCCCACTAGACCATCTTTCCCATTGGAACAATCATAAAATGAAGTCTGGAAAACAATACGTGATCAATTACTTTCTCATCACAGGAAACATTGACATATGGTGAAATTGCTTGTTCCTTATTACAAAGCACCGAAAAGAAACGTCAACTGCGAAAGAGAAGTTCTCCTACACGTATATCACTAAAAATTACATTAATAAAATATATTAAAAGGCGTAAGAAAAAATGAATGAGTCTTCAAAAGGTTTTGAGGTGAAATACGATTCCATGAAAAGAAAACAACATTTTTCCACTTCACGAGTCAATTTCTAACCAGAAAGGACTTTAGCACAGTTGGAAAAATGAAAGGCCTAATAAAAACGTGCGACTTATCTGAATGCCTCGAATGGAAGAGCGTTTCTTAGAAAAAAAATGTTAACGGCATCGTTTTCCAGGACGAATTCGATCCGTAGAGAAGTGCACACAAGAGAATTCCAGTGCTGAAATCGATAGCGGCTGCCATAACGGCGAAATGCAATGAAGCAACCCCACACGTCACATCGCATTGCATCAGATGTCGAAATCCAGAAAATACAGGAATAAGCAAAAGCGGGATACTGCAGGTTTCTTCGAAACGCATAGCTCTTAGAACCTGTTAAGGGCAGAACTAACAACGAAAACCTCTCCAAAATTCTAGTTTGAAAATTTGATAACGAAATTTGGAAAAAAAACTTGATAATCTATCACTTCTCTAACAGCATTTTTCAGTGATGCCGATTGATTTTTACAGTAGCAACCATAACAGGGATCGAAATTTGTAGTGATTTAGAAGCGCTTCACACATTTGAAACTGAAGGAGGTTTTCGACAGGGGCTAGCGATTCCTTCGATGACCAGCAGGAACACGGACTCAGGGAAGAGATCTGCACTTTGCTTTATGTTAAATTTCCTAATTACAAAATGGTAAACTCACGACGATGCTGGTCTTTCAATAGTTCATGCACTAGAGAGAGTACATGAAAGATTTACCGAAAAGACTCTGTCTTGTCAATATAAACGCATATAAAAATTCTCCGTGGTGTTATTTCCATCTTCAAGTTGCTTAAAAATCACATTTTCAATGGAAAACTTCAAGCCTTAAACACAATCAAGGCAATAGCAAGCACTCGCCAACGACGGATTCTGCACGTCTTAGCTGGAGAAAATCCGGCCTATTTAGTCACTTCGCCGCTTGAAATACGGCCATCAACGACAAGGACCGAAAAAAACCGCTGGATAAGCTGAGGATTTATTCCTTATGGTTAATGGCTTTTACACCGATTTATGAAGTACACTGTATGAGTTGACGCATATACCCTATCCAAGCACAATAGAAAGAATATGTCCGAAAGCTCCAACTACGTGTACCTGGTTCGAGAATCCAACATAATGATCGCATTAGCAACGGAGTTAAACAAGAGCGAGCCAGCGGTTTCCGGAGCTCTCAACAGCATGGAAAATGCAGTGAAAAAACTACGAAAGCTCGACTCCATGCTCACTTCTTCGATCCACTGAGAGCTTTTTGTCTCAACGCACGGGTAGGACACCTTGACGCTACACGAACAGGAGTAGAGATCATTCAGCGCTATCGAGCGCGCTGTCGAGAAGGCGGAAGCGTCCCGTATCGCACAGAAGAGAAACAGTCGGATATTCCGACCTGTATCAGTGACCAAATAGCAGATACATAGTTACAGAACGCCAAAATCACGAAGATGAGTTGCGCCGAGCACGTCAGGCGTCACAACGACAACCGATGGATACGATCCTTTAGCGACCAGGAATGGCAAAAGCACAGCAAGAAGATCACAGTCCATGATCAAAACTCTCCACGAAAATCCCGGTATAAAAGTATGATGCTTTGCAAGCGTCGAAGGCTAACGGAATACAACTTGCTACTCTCGCACGCGACTGAGAAGAATGAAGACCCTACTAACGCCCGTGTCAGTCACCGGACAAGAGCACAAGGTGATACGACTGATGTATGTGACCCATATATGTCTGTCTTGTCACAGATGTGTTAATAGTCATCGTCATCGATTTTCACTGTGTTGTTCCTTTTCACACATAGGAGCAAGATAACATACAATCAATATGATACAGAAAGTAACAAGAAACGTTAAAAGAAATGAGAGAAAAAAACCCACGGATTTTCAGTACAATTACGACTACAAACCACAAAAGTGCTTATTCCACATAAATACTACAGCAAATAATAGGAGTAAGAACGCTGGAATCTGGGTGAGATTTGAGTGTGTTGGAGAGTAAAGAGAAATGCTAAGTTCGTAGATTCAATATACCTTAAATTCGAAATTTATGGAGATTTTTGTAAACGGTGTTAGGCGTTGGGGCAAACAGTGTTGAATCGTGAATTACGATCAGACTTTTATAAGGAGCGCCAACGCGTTAGGGTTTGTTGACTTGCAAATGTCGACTGATGGCATGATTCCGTCAGATGAGATGGGGGCGATGGTGCCATACCAGAACATTTTTGTTGATAAGCAGCTGTAAAGTTCCACTAGAAAACGAAGATTTACTGGCTATCACAACCAGTTCCAGCTTTCCTACAGAAAAGCTGAGAGAATTGAAGGATTCTGAATGTGAAGAAGCCTAGGTCAAACAGTAAGTCTTCCAATGAATAGCAGGAACGAATGCCCGGAGGTCATACGCGACCTGATCCCGTGTGTTCGCATCGATTTTTGATGTGAGATGGTGCAGTCGTCAACCGCATGCGACTATAATCAGCTGTTCTAAACTTCCTCATTAGAAGTCACGAAAAAGCGGCTCTGAAGAAGGCGATACTGCCGAAACGTCAGCTAGCGTTGTATTGTATTGTGTTTTTCTATGGAAGTAAATGTATGCTGTTTAAAAACCTCGCGATTGCTGAACAAGAAAACGACACATTCATATTCCAATGCCGACGTTAATAGAAAGTCGATCCTGGCAAATAAGTCTCCCATCTGAACATTATAGGAAGTGAAATTCAAAAAAAAGAAGGCACTACAAGTGTGTCAAGAAGGCACTTGCACACTTCGTTTTCGTCCATGGGAATCCTCTTATAAAAGCTATTCCATTTAAATAAACCACCCTCACTTTGCATCTGAATAAGGTCTTGTTTATGAACGGAGTCTTTCAGACAATGAACTACACTTTACATTTGGACGTACGAATTTATGAATTTCACTCAGACATTCTAATTTCACGGGATAGCTATATACCAAAGAATTGGAGAAAACTACAACCTTAAGGAAAACAAAGAAGGTGACAGAACAACAAGGATTCGAATACTACCATTAAGAACCAATCTAAGTTTTCTCCGATTTCCTCTTCACCTGCTAATTCACTTCATTCATAAATCTCAACGGCTAGATTTCACAAAGATTTCCTCTTAATCCAAATTTTTCTAAAAAGAAACCCTGCTAACCACTTTTTGGTTTGTTCGAAATTTTTCGGACATTGTACGTATGAGCCCATCGTAGCAGAAACAAAGATGAAAGGCAATGGTAAGATGAAAGGTAGAGTAAAAGGGAATCACTTTAGGCAAACACATTCCGTAATAAGCGAAGATAAGAAAGACTGTCTAACTGACGACTAGAGAAAAAAACCGCAATCGGAAGATAAGTCTGCGAATGAATAGAAAAGAAAAAAAGATGGAATGCTGAGCGTCAATGCTGATGAAAAGCTAAAAGAAGAAGAAACACCTAGAAAAGCATTCTTCTACTCCTATCGTCGACGTCACTAACAAAAATTCCTTCCGAGTTCACTTTCCATCAAGAAAAAGAACGTCTTCAGAAACCCCCAATACTAGTGATCCCACGAAATCAAACGGGTGGAAGTACACATGTACAATGGAAGCAGTAAGAGGTACTGAAATGGAAGCAGTAAGGGGTACTGAAAATGGAAAGAGTAAGGGCTACTGAAAATGAACCTTGGATGCACAGCATATTAAACATCATGAAAAAGTAAACAGTAATAGTATAGCGAGACTAGAATGTACTGCATATGTGTAGTTATTAAAAATGTAGAAGACGAGGATCGTTCGCAGCAGTCTTTCTCACTAACGAAGCCAACTATAGTTCCCATGATCGACTTTCTGTTAACCTCGGCATTGGAATATGAATGTGTCGTTTAGAATATGAATGTGTCGTTTCCTTGTTCAGCAATCGCAAGGTTTTTAAAAACCAAGAAGCCAACTATGTTCCTGAGGAAGAATGCCAGTTCCTGACGACCACATCAATTCGACTTATAACTATTATTAGTAACCAAAATGATGCTGAGGTATTCACAAAACTCCGGACCTCAGGTGTCTGCGGTGGAGAGCGAACGCGCTATTGTCCTTTCCATGGAGTAACGTGTTCACCCCCACACCATGCGGGTCCTTCGTTTCGCCTTTCTCTCAGCCGTGTTTTATACTGTACTACTACTGGGCGTACTGCTACTAGTACTTCTTTGACGACACTTAGAAGCCTATAAAGTCTCATAAATTCCATGAATTTCCATAACTTTGGTAAAATTTGACAATCGTTCAGCGATTTAACAATCGCTAAGATTTCTACGGGAGAAAAAAGTCACTTGTTGTGAGGAATGAAAAGCAGAACAGCAAGAAACACACGACCGCATTAGAGTGAAATGGACGTCGAGTACTGAACGAATCCGAAATGCTGAAAGATTACTGGCGCCGGTATCGATAGAAGCGAAGCGGAGCGAGGTCAAGGTCACGCGTGCCCGGATGCGATTCAAAATCCGCTCAGTACGACGCCAGTCCTCTCGCAGAGACGACTCAGTACCGCTAGGTCTAGTACTGACTGAGAATTTACTTAGTACGTCAGGAAAAGGAGTGAACGTGTTTCCGAATGGTGGATCTCCGCATATTTTCGCTAACAAAAATGGCCTGAATGACACTATACTAGGTTCATCAACGAGCATTCTCTGATGAATGAGTCTGTTCGTAGTGTAATTGAACGAAAAAAGATCTTTAGGCCTACATCGACAACCTGCTTGAAAGGACCATTGTTGGTGTTTGCTGACCTGCGGACAATCTCGTGCTCCAATTCGATATTGGTGGCGGTCACCATCTCTGCTTAGAATTTCAAATTTATTATTTTGGCTTATTATTTAAAAACATTGAAGCTGCAGTTATTCTTTAGAGTGGTCGGAACTGTCTCTGTCCGCCTAGGTTCTTTTACCCCTATTGCTCCACGTTTAAACACATTAAGTCATTTAATCGGTGTGCATTCTAGAATCCTGGTTTTTCTTTTCAGGGTAGAATGGGCTCGGGCCAGTCGTCATCAGCTGAGCCAGTAAGTTCGCTAGGTATTTTTCTACCTTCAGATATTTTTTCTCGTCGTTCATTTTGGTCCAAATCCTGCAGATCGTCTCGCCCGGGTCCTTAGGGCATGGAGCTGAAAATTCAAAAGCGGACTTGTTAGAGGCGGAAAGGATAAAACACGCTCGGCGAACGATGGCCGCTGCGGGTTAGTATCTTTGATCATGTTTGTAGAATTCCTTTACTTACTAGATGCTAAATTTTACCTTCGTGCTAAGTAATAGCGGTATTCTTTGCAGACGATTTGATGAAGAGATTTGATAATAATTCCCATGGTCGACTTTCTGTTAACCTCGGCAATGGATTATAAGTTAGACTATTTCTGATAATTTAATCATTCATAGATCTGATAATTTTAAGGTGGACAGACGGATTGCCCAGTGGCCAGTGGTAATACAACTCAGCAAAAAAGTAAAATTACTGAAGGTTGTGGCGAATGCCCTATGGATGGCGACTCCATCAACCCTATGAACAATGTGGGTCATCTCAAGTTTTCTACAAAATCAGCCCTTGTTTTTACCATGTTTTTTAGTAGCGAGCTAGAACAACATGTTCTGTCTATTTTAATGTGTAAAGTTTGTTTATGGCCTGCTTTTACAATGAATGGCATGATCCTATCTAGGTATGTGAAGGAGATTTCCGTGTCTTTTAGGAGCTTGAACATCCAAACCAAAAGCCAGCTCCTGACCAGCCATTTCCATTACCATTGATACGAGAGAAGTCCTCGATACCCAAGGTATGGTTATTTTCTTTGTGCGAACGCTTACCATTTGTAAATGTGTAGTGGTTATAGGCAGGTACTAACGACACTTGGACCTATCCCAGTCCACAGATGTTCTGGAATGCAATGTTGAAGTAAGTATAGCCTTCGTTTAGTTTTTTTCGACACGTCACGTGGTTTGCGGACTGCTGTATTTCTTGCCTTAACAACTTGTTTACCTTTTTTGCGGTCTTATCACTAATCATTCATAAATATATGGTTTAAACGGCACAGTGATGTGACTCTATTATACTATGGGTGCTAGGATACTATGTTGATCCGTCTTCGCTAGTTGTGCTGGCCCTAACATAATTTCCATTTTTCGGAGTTTTGCTGGTTTAGCCATCGTGGTTCCCCAGATTTCCGAGGTCAGCCTAGCCAAAGTCTGCCCCAGCTCGTCATCACCACAGACAGTTGCCGCCCTTGTGGATCACAGGGAGATTTGTCATCATGCACCTAGTTTGATACCAGGACGGTGGTGGATCCTGGTATTGGTTCACTCTTAGCTGGGCTTCCTGATAGAAACGCCGGACTCAGCCTGGAAGACCCTGCTGGCAAGATTAATCAGCCCGTTGTACATCGCAGCCTTACACCAAGGAACACCTCTCAGCCACGATGAGGCGGTAAACCTTCGGGAGAGGCTCTAATATAGAGTAGAACAATGCGTCAAATGTTACTGTAATTGCAATCTTTCGAATTTTATAAGCCATACCTACTAGATATACTCGCATAGTTTAATGAACGTTACCGAAGCTATCTATATGCTCAGTCAGGTCTTGTTCAAGATAACTTCGTCCACTAGGAAGTGAAACTTTCCTATTCTGCTTATTTCCTACTATCGCTTTTCGGACATTGTAGGAAAGGATGGCATTGGGAAGAGGACCAGCTCACTGAGAAGGACATGGAGAATATCATCCGAATTCACAACGCAAACAATGAAGAGGCATGGAGAGAGGTCCTAAAGTGGGAAAATCTTTTACATCCGTAAGTCTTCTTTCGTTGTTTTTGTTTTTGTTGGGGAGAACATTGCATCTTTAAAGAGTCACATGTCTAACACAAACTATTCACGAGTTTTTCTCTTTGTTGAGTTGGAGATTTGTGCAGTTGACCAACCAAATTGTAATCAGTAATGAAAAGCCTAGACGATGTTTTTACATGTTGATAGTCTCAGTCAATCCAGTATATGTCTTTTCTGTTTTCTATTGTTCTTCAAAAAGATATTCGTCGAAAGTTTCCAGTGAATGTGCTGAGCCGAAGTTGAAAAGCTTTAAAGGAGATGCCAAAAAGATCACTCCACGTGCCCGGTTTCGCAATCTATTCTTGGGCTACGATCTTCCATTTGATCGACATGACTGGATTGTTGATAGATGTGGTGTTAAAGAAGTTTGTAGTTTTTTTGGCTTTATTCTGAGGGAAATATGTTCTTCCTGACTGAGTTTCTCCAGGTGCAATATGTGATTGATTATTACGACGGAGGCGCTGTCGATCCGCAGTCGAAGCTCTTCACGATTCTCGATGTCAGACCGGCGTTCAACGATATTGGAAATATATGGGATCGAATGGTTAGCTTAAAAAAAAATCGCTGTGAGCATCTTATTGAGGCGAGGGATCCATTGCCTTGAAATTGGGACTGATTTATTATGTTTTCATTACTTCCATCTTTTTTCTTCCACTATTTACGTTTTGTTCACTCATTACTAAAATAAGGATCTCTTTTGTCTGCTACTCTCAACGTATGTGTTTAGGTCGTTGCCTACTGGCGTTTTAAATTTGATTACTTGGGGATGACGCCGAAATTACCAATCCCGCCCACTGAAGGAGAAGCTCACGTTCACCAATAGGTGTTGAGAGCATGGATTACATTTATCTTGAGCTGTTTAATCCTATATCTTCGTTAAAATGTTAGTGTGGGTAGCCACAAATTTACTTGTCGGTTGTTGATTGGTGTCCATATTTACTGTTATTTATATCACATCCACTGTTGGTATGAAAAACGCTAGTCTATCCATACTTGACTAACGGCCTTAACAGCGTAGGTAGACCTTTATTTTACTGACCTCAGTGTTTTACTTTACCCTGCTAATGTCTGCCCTCTGAATGCTGTTAGTAGATCGTAGGTGCAGAGAAGTTTAGAGATTCTAGAGTATCCGTACTGGTAATGTTGCTTGTAGTGTTTGCGTAGAGTGCTAGTCCAAGAGCGGATTTTCTGAATAACCGAACTCATGTTTCAAATAGTGTGCAGGGATTTACGTATAGCTCAATAGCTCAAGTTGACGTATAACGTATAAGGGAGCTCGTCCATTCTATACTTGTTCTTACACGTATTGTTTTGGACATTTTTCGTTTCATTGTCAATAATGATGGAATAAATCTGCTCATAATGGTGCATAATGAGATGTATGCGGTGGTGACTACTCCGCAATAAGACAATTACTTCATTCATAAGAATTCTTAGGATAAGCTGGTGATTGTTGGTGTACAAGGTTCTCAATAGAGGAAGATGGTTCTTTGAAATGTAACGTTACATGTATTGTGAGCTTTCAATTCTACCATTTGTAACGAGAAATTCCTTAGAAGTGTTTTAGAGATCACATTTTGCTGCTGAAATGTCGTTGTTCTTCCGAGCTGTCCTCTGTAGTTCCTCAAGAGTTAGTTTTCGGAACTACACAACGCCGAATTCGATTGCTACTTTGAAGAGGAGTTTACTCCAAGTCGTGTAGGTGACTCGGTTCTTCTTTCTCTAAACTGTTATTTGTCTTTTGTGGGTCTGTTCAGGTAGAGATCCTTTCCTCGAAAGGAAGTTCTTATAGGGTATTATCATACGGATTTCGATGTGAGGATTGCAGTTGTAGTACTTAATATAGAACATCTTTAGAAACAGGGGGAATAGATTAACGCGTGTCTCGCTTTTTCTTAAGGAAAGTACCGATCCGAGAGTTTGGAATCGATGTGTCAGGTCTCAACGAAAAGCAGCGCAAACGTGTAGGCTACTGGTTGTTTATCTGTGCTGGAATGTGTTTTGGTGCAGTAGCGATTGGAGGGCTCACCAGGTAGGTATTGTCTTCTGTTTGTGACCTTTTTAGTTCTTATCATGAATCGGGTTGACATCAACGTAACTTCCACTGGGTTGATGTTTTGCTGCTTGCGAAAGCGCTTTTTTATTCCTGAAACAGCAGTGTTAGTACTTTCCCTTGAACCCTTGAGTATCGAAAGAAGGTTTGTCTTCCACTTTTCCTTAATTTCAGAGTGACGATGATTGCAGTAATACCTTTAGTCCAAACTGATCTTCTAGATGAATGGTACTTTCGGTCCCATTGTCGGTACTGGTGATCGTCTGGGGAACGAATCTCTTGCTGTACGTCGTAGTTCAGCATCCAGTAATTCTTGCTGTACATTATAATCCAATTCCTGAGAGCTCTTCATTTCCACGGTGAAACATTAAATCTTTGAGTGGGGGATTTCTACGAAGTAATGTGAGGATAGATCGTGTCATAACTGAGATAGTATGTTACAGTGACAGTGTGTTAACGCAAAGCGCACGACAAGCCTTGGGTACAACTGCCTTTCTTAGGAAAATAATGTTCGCTCGCAATTCTAGATCAGCATATCAGTGCTGGACTTAAGTTGTTGAAGCGAAGACTATCAGAATATGCAGATTTTTTCCTACAAGGCACAAGTGCTACAACGGTGAAAACTGGTCTCCTAGATTCTTCTAAACTCGTCTTTTCTACTTCAAGGTCCGCATTTCGAGCACCTAAAGTGTTGCCGTACTTCGTAGGGCAGTACGCGATAATGTCTCTCAATGTGGAACCGGTATTCATGGTTACGGCACATCCTTTAGTTTTCTTAAAAATTTAAATCTACTACTATTTTTTAAAGATAATTTCGTTTCGAACAAACTGAGATTTGAAAGGCTGCTTTATAAAGAGCTCTGAATGCGGTTATTGCGATAGAATAAAGTTTTTTATACATATATGAGGTTATCAAGTCGTCAAGTACTCTAGTGATCGAGAATTTATCGTTATTCCCAAGACGGACTTTCTATTAACCTTGGCATTGATTGACAATTCGGTGTTTTCTTCAATAAGGAGACATGAAGTTGGTTTTATAGAATTTATTAGGGTACAATAGCTGGCATTTCGTCGGTTTCGCTTTCTTCACAGCCTAGAAAGGTCATCATGCTTGACCTAGCGCCATATCCAATGACCTGATACAGGCACAGTCCCTACCCATGCATTCCTCTGTACGCCTGCTATCCACCAACTAATTCGGATACTTACAACGAATAAACGGTGAATGTTTAAATAAAGCTGTTCCTTATGCGAGTGCAAAATTATTTGTTAACTTCTACCTGCTGGGGTTATGGAAGTGTTTGGCTGAGTAAATCGCATGTCAGTTTGACCTTTCCAGGCTCTGAAGAAGGCAAAATCGCCGAAACGTCGGCTATTGAATCCTAATAAATTCTGTAGTACTAACCTCGTGTCTGCTTGTTGAAGAAAACACCGAATTTACCGTGGGTTATTGAAAAGCCACCTTCGAGCGCTATATGTTAAGCATTACCATTTCAGTTCGATTTTTGGGGGTATTATTGTGGAGGATGTTCATGTCATAGGATGAATGACTTCTTGCTGTGGTAGGATAGCGACCATGACTATTCTTCAGGTTAACCGAATCCGGTCTCAGCATGGTGAACTGGGACCTGTTTCGAACAATGAAGCCGCCTTCGAACCAACAAGAATGGGAAGCGGAATTTGAACGCTACAAAATGTATCCGGAATACCACTAGTGAGTTTGTAGTTGGAATTTAACGTATAGTACTTTCCACGTCGAGGTACGCGACCTACCGGTGAGGTCCCTGAATGTGCCGTTGTGGACGCTTTGCACACTTCCGCTGACAGATTAAAATTATTACTTTTCAGCACTTTAGTTCGATCTTTCAAGTAATTTTGAGGTAACGCTCTAAAGCATTGTGGATACTTTAGAGCAATAAAGAATGTCTTTTTTGAACTCATAAGTTTCCAACTCCTCCAGTGTTTAGTTTTCGAGAAGTAATGTTATAGTTTTGCAAGAACTTTTCTCGACCGTGTTATACAATATATTTGTAAGAGTATAGAGAGGTAACTCAGAGGTCGATTAATTCCATGTATATGCATAGCTACGCATAAATATCTGCATAAGTATACGTAGGGACGCGCGTGGAGCAGTGGTTGGAGGCCCCAGCAACGCACATATGGGATCGATCCCTCTCCCTTGGCCCACCAAGACTTCCATCTCTCCGGGGTCGGAAAATTGGTACCAGATTTGTCTGTAGGGATAACAGCACTGTCTCGATACATCAGTAAGCCACCACGAGTCATTGTAAAGGCCAGATATACATTTACTCACTTCCAACGATGCGTAATGAAGTTGAGTGCATGCCGCATCCTTCAGGGATTGATCAACGCTGAGAGCTTTATCCTTTTTGTTATATATATGCACATATATATGTGCTCGTCTAATTTAAATTTCAACTGTTGTTCTTCTTTTCCTCCACTTTTTCTCGTTATAATTACTGCTATTAATTCCTATGGAATCGTTGTCGTGCGTAATGGCTTTTGCTTAATGCAAATTCTGTTTAGTAAGTCATCTAATGAAGAAGTGACGTTGGCTCAATTCAAGTTTATATGGAATATGGAATATGGCCATCGTATGTGGGGCCGTGCTATTGGGATCGTGAGTTTTCACACCACCTTTGGGTTACAAACACAGTTTAACACCGTGTATTTGTAAATCATTCCTAGGAAAAGGCAGTGATATTACATTTGAATTGTTAGCTTGTCTTTTAAAGTGCCTTTTTCGCTACTATTATGAACTATAGGCTATCGAAGGAGAAAAAAAAGCCATGACGGTTCTTTTATTTTTCATTTCTTTGTAAGATGGGAATAACGAGTTTTAGCTTGTCAATTTCTAAAGGATCTCTATCTTCATTTAACAGGTGTTTTTGCTGCCATGCATCTACTTTTGGGCTCGGGGATATTTTCCAGCCACAATGAAGAGGCGAATGTTGATCGTTGCAGCTTTGATTGTCGCTCAGGTTATCCTATGTGGAATGTGATTAAGAATGTTTGAATGTTTACTGTGACGAATTCGTTCGTCGCGTCCTTTGATTTAAACATGTAGTTTTTTTTAATTTCGTTGATTAAAAATTCTTTAGAGTTTACTTTAGGGCGGAATAGGATGGTGGATGGTTAAGTCGGGGCTAGATCCATCGAAAAATTCTGAAGCTAGTGTTCCACGTGTGTCTCAATACCGTTTGGCTACTCATCTATCGTTAGCGTTTGTGCTATATTCCCTATTTTTGTACAACGCAATTAGTCATTTTGTCACTCCACGAAAAGATGTTAGTTACTAATTATTACTCTTCCAAAAGTTTGATGCTCAATGCGTGGTATTTTTTAGATTACTAGACTTCCCAAATTCCGTTTGCTACGCGGCCTTTCCCATAGCTCCAAAGCCCTCGTGTTCATTACAGCTTTTATGGGTGTGTTTATTGATTTGGTTTTTATAGTTAAATTACAACTCTTTACCGAACTACTTGACTTCATTTTTACTAGTAAATGGTTGCCGTCTATTCTTCTTCTCGTTTGACCTCTCACATAATTTTCTTGGGTTGTCTCCCGATGGTTTACCGCCTCGTAGCTGGAAGGTGTTCCTGGGTATCGGGTTGCAATGTACAGCTGGGTGATTCATCGCCCTGGCAAGGTCTCCCATCTCAAGTTGAGAAGAAGTCCGGCGTTTCGATCAGGAAGCCCACCTAAGCGTAAACCAATACCAGGATCCGTCATCGTCATGGCAGCAAGCTAGTTGCATGGTGACAAATTTTCCACTAACCCACAAGGGCGGCGACTTCCTGTGATTGTGACGACTTGGGGCAGACTTAGCCTGACTGACCTGGGGACTCCAGCGAACCACAGTGGCTAAACCAGTAAAACTCCTTTAAAGTGGAGAATATACTGAGGTTGAGATATTGGCAAAACTCCGGACCGCAGATGTCTGCGGTGGGGAACGAACGCGCTATTGTCCTTTCCGGAGAGTAACGCGTTCACCACCACACCGTGCGGGTCATTCGTTTCGCTTCTCTCCCAGCTAGTTTTCTGATTGGTGATTGCTGACGACAAAAGACAAATGATAAAACGGGTAAGGTTGTGATTATACTAAAGCTCCCACAACCAGTGAGGAGGGCCCAAGTAGGTATTATCAATAAAAATTTCGCGGATATAGAAATTGATGTTTAGTAACATTTTCTGTATGCTTTTATTCCGTAATTTCATCGTTAGTTCTTAAATCTGCTCTGTGTGTTGGAAGTTCTTGTACCGTAGGCAGCTCTAGCTTCTAAGTAAGTCGAAGAAATTATTATTTAGTAGAAGGCTATTTGAATACATTGGTTTAGGGGCGATAGTTGCTGGTTTGGACGCAGGTTTAGTCTACAACTCGTGGCCAAAATTTGCCGATTTTTGGGTTCCAGAGAACATGTTGTCACGTACGCCAATGTGGAAGAATTTCTTTGAAAATGACGTCACTACACAGTTCATTCACAGAAATCTGGTTAGTGCTGGTAGTGGCAGCTGCTTCCGAAAAAGAAAAATTCAACGAGTTGTTTACGCTTTACAAGTCATTTTACTAGCTTTAAAAGTCTTCTCTATTAATTGAGAATGTTTTTCGATTTATTCGCTTTTGTACAGGAAATCATCTTATCTAGGCATATTTGACACTGATGACTATTACGGCTACTTGGCTCGTCGGTTATCGCATGGGACTTCATCGGCGCGCAAAAATTGCCCTTCATGCCACTATGGCCATGGGTTATGGGCAGGCAGTGCTTGGGATCTACACCTTAGTAGGTTTTCACGTGTAAAGGGATTCTTTTCGAAGAATTAGTTATAGGCATAAATTGTATGGAGGATTCAATCCGTTGTAAACTATGTGGTTGAACCTAAGAGACATGCAGCGTAATATAACAACGTGATGGTGCTCACAGTCTATATTTCCGTCCCTGGGTGAGCCAAACTCTTCAAGTAAGCACCTAGTAGTACATTTATATGATTTGCCAGTGTAATGAACTTTACTAATTATCATTTGGGGTTGGGATCTGATCTTATTTGCGCGAGTTCTTTCACCTTTAGTGTACTAATGTTCAATTACAGATGGAACTTTGAATGAAACCTTTTTTTTATTAAAAGTAAAGGCGGCTTTAATTTTATGGTAGTTTGAAATTTGAGCTTCATCCTGCATCTGAGAATTTAGTACATTCAAAGAAAGGATTTCCTTTGTCGCTATAAATGTTGCGCAGAGTTTTTCTTATGTTTCATAATTGAGTTTGAAAAATATTCTGTTTTATTAAACATGGTTAAAATTCAAATCATGAGAATTTGAAACGAAATTTTATTTTTTTTTTTGAAACCCAAAAGCAGTAACTGAAAACACCAGTAAGAGATTGTGGGATACTACCGCGCCTTGCTGTAGGAAATCCTGCTTAATAAATCACTTTGCTATGCGACATACGAGTTCTAACCAAGGAACGTGTATTTCAAAGGTATAAAAGTGTATGTCATGACCTTTAGAAAAGAAAGTGGAATTTTATTACTGCATAATAAAAAACGTTATGCCTTGCTGGAAAAGGGTTGTGTTTTCTTTACGCCAGTAAAGTTCGTTATGACGAAAGAAATGATAGTTGAGAGGCAGGATTAATTTCGAGAACACATGAGTCTGATTCATGTCTCCACCAGTGTGTTTAATGGTGTTCATACTTGTATTAACAAATTTCTTATGCACAAGGTTATAGATCAGTGTTGTCACAGTGGTATCATGCAGAACACTTTTCCTGCAAGATTTTGCGACTACTTAACACACATTCACCTCATTTTATAGCATTGAAATAGCCATTTCTTTGGGATCAATAGTTGGTTCAAGTAGAAAAGTAGGCATCTTAACACAGTGAATTTATTGGTTCTACTTATTTTCCCCATGGATCTCCCTCATATGAGGGATCTCGAGGCGGTTAGTTGCGAGGCTACGTGGCGCATCACCAGTTGGCGGATAGGTTAATCGCGGACCAAAGGCGAGCCTTGGTTCCCTGAGACGCGGGTGGTTCTAGAGGATGGACTCCCTGTTTCTGCTGCGCCGATTTGGCATATGCTTCCTGTATTTACGACGCGTATTCATTCAAGCGTATGTGCGTGCGTTCTTGTTTGTGCGGATTGTATTCTACGAGTCAATTAGGCCAAAAGGCTGCAGTCAAATGATAGAGAAGTGTATGGGAGGTGGTTAGAAGCCACCTCCAACGAATGAGCTCCGTATCCACCCTAGGAGAGACTGACAAGGCTACCTGTCAGCATACCCAACCAGCACATTCAGCGCCCTATAAGCTATACGTGGGTATCAAAAAACTAGAAACAGTGGAAGAAACTGGCCTCATCCTCCTAACCCCGAAAGAGCCTCAATTTGGTAGCGTTGGCTAGGACGAGTACAGAGAGGCTGCTAATATCTCGATGCCAATGGAACCTTCCTGGATCGCGAAGAACTAAGGTGAAGATCAGTAGCTGCAATGCATGTACCTTTGCATCCGATTTCTCAATATAAGACTTGATTATGCAAGCAAGAAGGAAAAGGCACGACGTAGTCGGCCTGACCGAGACGAGACGACGCCACCCATTCAACGCCGTCTGTGATACTGGAGAAGAACTGTTACTCGGAACATGGGACAGTAGAGGAGTCGGCAGCATCGGAGTTCTCGTCAGTACGAGTTTGTCCACAAACATCGATTCATTCCAACAACTTACAATCAGAATCGGACGTTTATGATTAAAAAGCTGTGGACAAAGACCGACTTTGACAGTCTCCTTCGTTTACGCCCCGGCATCAAACTGCGAGTTCTATATGGACTCGCAGAAGTTGTACAGAGAAGACTATACATTCTTCAGGGTCGTCGTTGGAGATTTTAACGCCAAGATTGGACCAAGAAGAACGTCACATTGGGACCCACGGATTACAATTGAACGAACAGGGTGAGCGGCTACCTGAGCTTATCATGGCGACTAAGACCTTCCTTGGTAACTCGCAATTCCAGAAGCCTCACCCACAGCGGTGGACGTGAGAGTCTCCCAGTGGAGAGTTCCATAACCAAATAGACCACATCATATTAAACAGAAGGTTTTGCCTAACCAATGTTGCTGTTGTCCCAAAATTCTGCACGGGATTAGACCCCGCCTGCTTCATAAAAGACTCCATTTCTCGCGGAAAAGAGAAGAAGTCGCTAAATTCAAAAACAGAAGCCTCAGAACCACCGTAAACTGGGACTTATTCAATTCATTAGTCGGTTGTTGGAAAGATGCCGTTGTCTATAACATCGACTGGGAATACGATCGGCGCATTCAACATCTTCACGTTAGCGGTATGATATCTGAGAGTTCGGAAGTCCCCAAGAGACGTCTGTCTCCAGAAACGCTCGAGCTGATACGTCAGCGTGGAATCGTACGAGCTGCAGGCAACCGCGAACTAACGTCCGAGATTCCAAAACAGTGCAGATAGGCGATAAAAGAGGATCTTAAAGAGAGAAGAGCAGCAGTAATGGTCGAAACTGCAGAGACTGGGAAACGCATTCGCAAAGCCCATCGAAGCTTCGCCAAATACAAAACCAAGATGATTGCACTCGGACGCTCTGACGGAACTGTTACAACGTCCAGAAAAGCAGTGGAGAAAGTCATTCACGAATACTACTCGGATCTCTTCAATAGCCACGTTCACCTTCCGTCATATGAAATGAAGGAGGACGGATATGTTGTACCACCGGTTCTTCCTTCCAAAATCCGACATGCCATTTCGTCGGCGGAAAATCGAACAGCACCAAGTCCGGAGAGGACAAGACGAGAACACCTGGGGAACCTTCCGTCAGTCCTCGTAAACACACTGGCTCGGCTCTTTATACGTTACTTGTCTGAATGCAGGGTCTCTACTCAGTGGATGACCAACAATACCGTGTTATTGTTCAAGAAGGGTGACCTACGCGAAATCGGCAACTATCGCCAAATCTCCTTGCTGTCTGTCGTCTACAAACCGCTCTGCTTCACCTTCATCGATTTACAGAAGGCCTTTCATTTAGTTGACATATAAGCAGTCATGGAAGCGCTTGATAAACGCGGGGTACCTACTCAGTACATAAAGATTCTTTGTGAGCTGTACAAAAATTTCACAACCAAGATGTCACCATTCTACAACGAAATCAACATTGACGTCGAAAGGGTGATTAGGCAAGGCGATACTATCTCACCAAAATTATTTACCGCCACCCTCCAGAACGTCATGCGAGCATTGGAAAGGGATAATATGGGAGTGAAAATCGACGGTTCGCATTTACACCATCTTCGCTTTGCTGATAACATCGTCCTTATAACACCAAACATTAGCCAAGCGGAACATATGCTTGACGTCTCTGATAAAGCCTATGGAAAGATTGGTCTTCGACTAAATTTCACAAAACGATGTTCATGAAGAATTGTTTGGTTTCGCATCCCCCATTCACGTTCAATGAAACGAATATCATCGAATGCTCCAGTTATACCTATCTAGGTCGGGAAATCAATATGATGAACGACCTAGCTTCAGAGCTGAGCAGAAGAAAACGAGAGGCCTGGGGAACTTCCAAGAGCGTTGAGGGTGTAGTGAAGGGGACAAAGAACAGCCGACTCCGTGCCTATCTTTTGGACTCGACGGAACTTCCTGCCCCAACGTATGCGTCAGAAACCTGGTCGATGCGTAAACAGGATGAAAGTTCACTCAGCATTATGGAACGCGCAGTCGAAAGGACGATGCTAGGAGTATCTCGTTTTATACGAGATCAAAAATCATCGATTCCGTTCTGTATGCCAAACGGTCGAAGATAAGGTGGACCGGACACGTAATGCGTATGAATGACGAAGATTGGCAAGAGCCGTTAGTGACTGGATTCCCCGGGATGTCAAACGTACTGCAGGAAGAGCACCGACACGATGGTCAGAGTTTTTCACGAAACGCATAGAGGAAAGATGTGATGCTCAACGAGTTTCCTAGAGCGAGAAGAACCCTCTGGACTACTCTTGCACGCGACAGGGAAAAATGGAGGATTTACTGGCACCTGTTCAAGTCACTCGACGACCAACGAGCCTTCAGGTGATAGAGATGGTTTATTTTCCATTGGGCACGGATAGCACAGTGGTAGTGATGCTCAGCATGACGGGCAGGCTTCTGGTTCGCTCCCGTCTCAAGCTTACCAAGCCTCCCGTCCTTTCTGGGTAGCGAAATTAGAACCGGATTTAGCCGGAAAGAAATGACTCTCTGGGTTCCAATTGGGAACGCTCGAATTCAGCTTCTTCAGGACTGCAGAGTGAATTGACTTGGTCAGCATTCTACAACATTCTGGATGAAATTAAAATGCTCAAGCAGTGGCCAAAATCACACGTGAAAGTTGGAAGACTTTCGTAGACGATGGATGCAAGAAGAGGAACGGAAAATGATGTGTGCTGAGGTTTACCCAGTCGACATGAAGAAGGGTCGTATAAGAAATAAAAACTAATGAAAACCCAAATAGTATCAATAAATAATTGTGATTTATAATAAAAAAAATACATAATGAAATATAAACTTCACATGTCCAGTCTTCTAGATCAGTATTTCCTCTTGAAATTAAATAGTCAACTGTGAAGATATGAAGAAGCGGTTTTTATTGAATTGGTAGTGCTTTGATTAAGTCCATATTTAGCTGTACTACGTGCCAGTGTGGTTAGCGTCACTTCATCAGTGCGGTTCCATGACCCTGTTGTCGCTCACATTGTGGTTGACGAACGAACTTCGCCGTATACCCAAGTAGATTCTTTTGCAGATTACAGCAAAGAGTACTGTTTATCAGTTTATCAAACAGTAGTCAGCCAATTGATGTTACTGTGCATCGTGGTGTAGCGTTGTTGTCTTGTTGTTGTCCTCGCATATAGATGACTTTTAATGTTTGTTGTGAATATTTCACTGTAATGAGACAGTTGTGCATATCTATCGCTTTAATGGTCTGTGCCGACAAAGGAATTTAACACACAACTTCCGGCGGTGTTTAGCATCCCACGCCCCATGGAGCGACACCTAACTTCCAGTCGTTACGAAATTGCTGGTTTTTTGACAGTTAACAATAATTTTTCGAAAACTAATCGACGGTATTGAGACGTTGTGACCATGATAAGATCGTAGAATAAACTTTACTCTGTGGTTCTGTGGACATGAATGACATGTATACTATTATTTACAACACGTTACTATACTCCATTATGCAAACATTGATTTCAATATTTGGAAGTGTTTTAATGTTTATGGTGTGTCTGTTCCGGTACTTTTTATGCCAAAACATTCCATACAGTAACTATAATTTATTATAGCGACTAGGATTGAAATAACAATCAAATGATATGTATTCTTTCTTGATAAGCTTGCACGAGGTTGATAAATATATTTATTTTCGGCTAACGTTTCGACGTCTTCGTCTTCCTCAGAGCCGGTGATCCGAGTCGATGGTCCATGCTTGTTGTTCGCCTCGACGTTGCGTCTTCGCCTTCGTGTCGAGCCAGATCTTCCTAAGTGAGCCATCTTCTCGAATGAAGCATCCTCACAAAAAAAATCAAATGATAATCAAGTTACGGGTCAGTGAGCTCGAGCAACCAAATGTTTATATATTTCTAAGTGTAGAGTAAAGCCTTTCTCTACTGAGGTCCGACATTAGAGCTGTGTTGGACAAACTATTAGTTGGTTACGAAAAGTGGAACGAATAGGCTTTTATGCTCCGAAAACCACCAGGAAAACCCTCTATATAGCTCATATCTGCTCTTTGGTACGCCACACATGATTGTATAAAATGTGTATCGCCTGTTCCACGGATCACCCTCACATGAGGGGTCTCGAGCCGGTTAGTTGCTAGGCTACATGGCGCGTCGCTAGGTGGCGGATAGCGGGTTAGTCGCGGACCAAAAGCGACCATTGCTTCCCTGAGACGTAGGTGGATCCAGGGCACGGACTCCGTACTTCTGCTGCGCCGATTTGGCACATACTTTCTGTATTTGCAAGCCGTATTCATACATGCGTGTGTGGGTGCGTTCTCGCTTATGGGGATTGTATTCTAAGAGTCAATTAGGCCAAAAGCCTGCAATCAAGTGACTGGGAAGTATATTGAAGGCGGTTAGGAGTCGCCTCCAACAAACAAGCTCCATGTCCACTCTGGGAGAGCCTGGTAAGCTACCCGTGAGTACACCCAGCTCCCACGTTCAGAATCCAGCAAGCTATACGTGGGTATCAAAATGCTAAAAACAGTAAGAAAAAAAATAGGATTCATGCCTCTGTCCCCGAAAGGGCCTCCAATTTCGCAGCGTTCTGTAGGACGAGTACGGAAAGGCTGCTAAAGTCTCAAGGCCAATGGAAACTGCCCGGATTACAAAGAACTATGGTGACGATTTGTACCTACAATGCACGTACCTTTGCATCCCATTTCTCAATATAAGACTTGATCACGCAAGCAAGGAGGAAAAGGCACGACGTAGTCGGCCTGGCCGAGACGAGACGACGCCACCCATTCAACGCCGTCTGTGATACGGGAGAAAAACTGTTACTCGGAACATGGGACAGTAGAGGAGTCGGCAGCATCGGAGTTCTCGTCAGCACGAGTTTGTGCACGAACATCGATTCATTCCAACAACTTACAACCAGAATCGGGCGTTTACGATTAAAAGACGCGGATCAATACCGGCATTGATAGCATTCTTCGTTTACGCAGGAACAGCGACCTATGACGAAGAGAAAGCGTTCTATATGGACTTGAAAAAGTTCTACAGAGAAGACGACACATTCTTCAAGGTCATCATTGGAGAATTCAACGCC